TGCCAGCCCGGCCCCCCCGCACCCCGGCCTCACCGCACCCCATGTGCCAACTGCCCAGAGTGAACGCGGTACCGGCGCGAAGTGACACAACTCATGACAGGCGACAGCCGCCACTGTCACCACGCTGCCCCTGCCCCTTTCCTCCATGAATTTCGATCAACCTGGGCACCAAAACCAACCACACTCGGGTGCTGGGCAGAGCTGTGTCCGGCTGCTGCGGTTTTCCCTTTATTTGCTCCAAAAATGGTGCCTCGGGAGGCTACGGGCCGCTCCCACAGCACTGCCGGGAGCCCCGAGGCCGAGCCCTGCTGCTCACGGTGAGTCTGGCACCGTGGCACACCCCGGCCTTGCTGCCTGGGGTGCAGGGGAGCAGCCTGTCAGGTGCCTGGGTTCCACAGCCACGGGGTGATGGTCACCGTGGGGACATGGATTGGGTGAAGGGGACATCCACTAGGCCACCTGGCAGCCTGTGGCATTGCTATTACTGGCGGTGCATGGGACCTGCCACCATGGTGGCCCCAGCACAGGGCACACAGGTCCCACTCACCCAGGTGCTGCAGCACCCATGGGTGCCATGCGGTGTCCGTGGCTGGGTCCGGGCTCTTTTGCCACCTTCCCCCCAGTGCAGCCACTTTGGCAGACAGTCTGAGCCATGTCCTGGTTGTGGGGACCACAGCGAGCCCTGAGGCAGCGGGGATGGCCCCAAGCTGTGGCTAGAGTCAGGGCAAGCAGCAGGGGAAGGAGCAGCGTGGGCTGGGGATGGTGGCCCCAAAACCCTGCGGGACACCTGTCCCAGAGCCGGGAGCGCCGAGCCAGGAGCTGTGCCTGCCGGGCACACCTTCCCCTGCCTGCACTGCTCCCTGCCTGCACAGCTCTGCCGCCTTCGTGGTATACCATCCTGCTGTGCCACTGTCCTCCCACCGACATGTCTCAGCACCCCAGCTCTGGTGGCACTGGGTGACAGCCACCCCCTCCCCGCCCTGTGTCCCCCCCAGGAAGGGGACACCCCAGCAGTCCCAAAGGGTAAAGCAGCAGGCACGGGGCTCCTGCTGGCATGGCTGAGACCAAACCCAGGGGGTTCCTGCTGGGGTGACAGTGGTGGTGACGAGGATCTGCCTGGCGGGCTCTCAGCCCCCCCAGCAGCCACATTCCTCCTGAACCTGTTTGGCAGGGTCCCGCGCCTGTGCCAAGGGCTGGGTTTTTCCTGGTCATGCCCTGCTTCACTTCGGTGCCGAGTCAACAAGAAAGAGAAAAGAGAATTTGCTGAAGCCCAGTGCCCCCCCTTGCCCCTGCCAGCGCCACCACCCCCACCAGTGCCCCCTCGGTGCTGCCAGCACCACCCCTGGTTTCTCACCCCTGAGACCCCCACGCTGCCAGGGAGGATCCTGCAGAAAGCCAGGAAGGGGAAGAAAGAGGCAGAAGAAGTAAGTGAAAAATGACCCAATTTAATTCCAAAGTCCCCCCACCCCAGCTCCAGGGATTCAGGAGTACCCTGGTCCCCCCCGCCTGGCCCCCCCAGCCCCCCTGGCCGGGCAGGCTGTGGGCCACCAGGCTGAGTGCACCCCCAGGAGCACCCCGTGGCTCTCCGCTCTGGCACGGGGAGAAGGAGCTTTCCGAGGCGTCCGGCCTCTTCCTCAGCTCTGCCAGCAGCCCCGCACCAGCACCCAGCCACGTCCCGCCACCCCTTGCCCCACAAGGGCCACCCAGAGCCTTTAGGGAGGTGCCCTGATGAAGACCATCTTGGTGGAGTAGACCAAGTCCACCAAGTAGGCAATGAGGTTGAAGATGGTAAGGAAGGTGACCCCCAGGTGCTTGTTCCACCAGCAGCTCCTGCCGCAGGGGTCGGGCCGGTTCTTGTTCTTGAAGCTGTAGAGGGGCCAGAGAATGGTGGCGGTGATGTACATCACCAGGGCCAGGGTGTTGTAGCCCACCAGCATCTTCTCCAGCGGGCAGGGTATGTAGGTGAGGCACCGGCCAATGGTGAAGATGATGATGAGGAAGGTTACGATGAAGCAGATGGAGTAGACAGCCACACACCACTGCAGGCCAGCTTCTGAACTGTAGGTATCCAGCAAGGAGAAGATAAGACAAGCCACATAGGCTTCAAAGACCTTGAGGAGCCCAGGCACGGTGGAGAGGAAGCTGCTGATGTCCCCTGGCTTGGCACGGGTAAGCCCCACCTCGAGGGCGTAGGCAAGGAAGCAGAGACAGGAGACGGTGGTGGCCACGGCCTGCCGGGCACACTTGCTGCTGCTGCAGGGGCTGCTGATGAAGGTGGAGGGGAAGACCAC